CATTCAGTTTTCTACACAGGTGCAGATGATACAAATGCAGTCAATTGGGCGGTGATCACGAACTTCGCATCGAAAACTCCAACCTAACTATGCACTTTTCTCTGCATCAGCTTTATTTTCTCATTGTTCCTCGTTCACATCCACATCTCGTGAACTCCACCACTTCTCCCTATTAAACTTATTCATCGGTATACTTACTGAGCTTCCCCTTCCTAAATTCTCCTATTCCTGTTATGCTCCCACTTCTCTTAGTTTCTCTATCCTCACCATTTCTTCGTCTCTAGATCTAGGAGAAACAGCTCCTTGGCAGAGCTTTCATGGAAGATTAGGGCATTTTCGCTCGGCGAATCATAAAACGTTCGTTAGAAGCATCAACGTGGCATGTTTCATTTGACGTTTTAAAAGCGTTTCGCACATTTTCATTACAAGGCTTCAATAAATGGAAGTATTTCCACACTGTGACGGTAGGATGTGATATTAACGCTAAATTGGCGGAATACTCAGTCTCCTGCTTCGCATTTTTTTTTTGACCAGAGCAATGGCTGTGAACTAGATGCGACCACCAACATATTGAATCAGAATGCCACACCCCTCGGCTACAGTTACGAGCAAATTCCATTCACCCGATAATTGTAGGGGAGAGTGATTTTCCTATATATCTGTATCGTAACGTTAGTGTTTGCGCATGCATGTAGGCTCAGAAATGGGTTCCTGTCGTTTACGTCACTGCTTGCGAGCGAGGAAATGAGAGCTGGAATTGTGACACTGGTTCAAGGGCGCAGGCGCGTCTCGTGATCTGAGCAAATGTATTTTTTGTATTATTATTTGTATGCGTATTGTAAACGTATTATTTGTCGTCAGTGACGTCAATGTCAAAAACTGCGCCAAAAGTTGAGTGTTGTTCTTAATTTCTTCGCGTTAATGTTTTATTGATTTCACAAAAAATGGTTTTGGTGTTTTTTTGCAAAATGTTGACAACGCTATAGTGTAATTTCGCTCCTCTCTCTCTCTCTCTCTCTCTCTCTCTCTCTCTCTCTCTCTCTCTCTCTCTCTCGCTCCAGAATGTCACCGACAGACATAGGATACACAAGGTGGTAACAAACGTATATCTGAAGAAACAATCGATTTTGCACCGGATCGACGTGTACATACAATGGCGTCTCATCACCTAAAGCCCGCTCTATTTCAATGTGCGTCGGCTAGTATGACCGTGGACTTCGATTTGTAGGTGGTTCATTTCTAAGTGCGTGTTTTCTATTCAATTCGATGCTCCTTTAATTTTCGTGGAGAGGCTCAAGCCATCAAGCTCTTCTGCCTGACCACGCAAACTTCGCTAGACTCCTTTTGCAGGTATCACTCGGGCGGCAAAACAGACGATTTGAACTTAGCTTAGAATATTGTTTTAGACTTCATCTTTTACGCGCAATAAATCTACAACATGATTTTGATTGATTGTTTTAGTGATTCCGGGCACGTCAACTACCAGGGTCATTAGCCCCGTAAGTGTAATGCATGTTTTTACTCGGGAGTTGGCGGTGTTCTTTCGCTCGGTTTGACGAGATCCGGCGACGACCTACCGTAGGCTAGCGGGGTTTTCCCCATCCAGGTATCTCCCACCAGCGGGGCACCGCCCGAGCCGGGCCGAGCTCTAAGCTCCCGACCGGTCTCCCGGCATGTGTGCTTGTGTAGTGCGTGTTAGTGGTGTGTGTGTGTGTGTAAGAGGAGTGAATAAGACAAGGAAGAGGAAGGAAAGATCGCACGCGGCCGTTGTCCGTTTGTTAGGGTACTACTCCGGCATTCGCCTGGTGTTGATCGGAGAAACCACGAAAAACTATCGATCAGAGCAGCCGGACGCTAGAATTCTCCCAGACAGTGACTGAATTTGACCTAGCTGACAAGCTAGTGTCGAAAATGTTGTCCCCGTCGGGACCCCCGTCGCACCTAGAACCTCCCCGTCAGAGGGACTGCAGTGCCATCAGTGGATTTTCTGAGCCTCTTTTCCGGTTACAACAAGGGATTGACGAATTTCCTTCCCTTCGAAGGAAGGCGAACGAAGGATTTTTTCCCTCTTAAATATCCACGGCTTGATTTGGGTTTGAACTCGCAAACTTGGAAGTAACTGTCCAATAGGCTTTTATTCATATACGTGTACACGGTGCATGAAAAATAAAAACAATATAATTATGTTAAAATTTATTTTAATTGTTGATTGTCCTAACACTATTAAAAATAACAATAGACGGTAAATTTAAAGTTTCAGAGATTAAATTCTGTTTCTAGGGTATACAGTAGTACTAGTAGAAAGATTAACCAAATATCCTTTTGGATTTTTCAAATTGTGTATGTATAAAACGACCAATCGAAAAAATGAAGTTAAATTTTTATTACTATAAATAAATTTAATCTTAAAAAGATGCTTCCTTTTTTTAAAAACCCCTCTTAAATACTCGTATTTTTTGAAGTCGCCCTTGAGTAGACTGCATTGCACTACTTACAGAAGACGGGGATCCGTAACCCCGAACAGATCGAGCTGGTCTTGCGGCAGTCTCCCCAGTTCCTTGGAGCTTTCCCGGGAGAGCCTTGCTTCCTCAAAGGATAGCAGCGTCTGCAAACAAAACATGCTCAAAATACGCGCTCTTTGTATTTGACACACACACACACACGCACGCACGCACGCACGCACACACACACACACACACCACACACACACACATGTATAAAATTCATATCACTCAGAGTTTTGAATTAATGCTTATTTTACTGTCTTTGATGTAAGATTGTTTTCAAAATGCTGTTGACACTAAAATCATCTAAACTGAATATTTGAAAGCTGAAATATTTGTGAAATACAAATTTCTTATTACCTTGGCTGCACTCTGCATTAAAACGGAAAGAACTATTAATGTGGTGTTTGTTACTCCAACATTAAAATAACATTTGTCACAAGTGTTGAAATAGAAAAGGCATTTTGAGCATTCAATGAGAGAAAAAAACTCACATCTGTTTTAGTCTTACATTCCTGTGTTATTGGTCATAATTTTTTGCTCATGATGTAATGAAGTAAAAAGTATATTATGTTAAAAAATCATTTTTTTTTATGTCAACTTCTATTGCCCATTTAAGAAACTACACATGTAATTTACTTCTGTCGAAAGAGCTTAGTTTAGGCGTATAAAATATTGGAATTTAGAAACTAAATATCTAAAGTCTAATAATTAATTACAGTGACTTAAAAGTTCACTAAAATTCATATGCAGTGGGTGTTTCCTTCATTGAATACAATGATAAAATAAAAAAAGTTCTTATAACAATCGAATATTTTAATGAACGTCGAGTTGTGTTAATGAGAGGATTAGCAGGTATTTTTTAGACAACGAAATTTACTTGCGGACTTAGACATCAAATTGTTGCATTTAACTCTCCCATTTTCGTTTCGATTAATACAATATTTCGTTATTAGTTTTTGGGAACAAAACCATCGGTTTAGAAATAATGCAAAAGGTTTTCCCATATTTCATTGAACACAAAAAATGCTGTAACTGATTTAAGTCTGTTAAAAATCCACCTTTTACTTGCGCAACATTGCCATGTGAATATTGGCTCCCTCTGAATCGGGTTTAGAACAAACTAGTAGTCTGAAGCAGCAAAAGAGCCTCTGAACAAAGCCTCACAAAATGGTCTTCCCAAAGTAGCACACTCACTGCTCAAGAACAACAAATAATATACTGGTTGTAACAACAAATAAAAATTGCAGTGGTTTACTCGCGTAAACCACTGCAATAAATTAAATATTTTAACAAAAATAGCCTTCACGGATACTGATATAGCGTAAGTGTAGTGTATATACAGAACAACTGCTCTTTACATACCAAGTATATAAAAAGTAAGGTATGGGACACGTGATAAGTAAATATTTAATGCATGTGATTTCTTTCATGGAGCCTTGCTGTCGCACGTTGTCAGTTTGTTGTAAGCAGTGTCGAACTGAGTATGATATTTCAGTCAGTACAAGCAGTATGAGAATATGCGAAATAACAAATATATGCATTTTCGAGTCGTAATGGGAACTGTTTCATTGTTTTGGGTTTTCCCGAGTTTCTGTATCTAACGAAATCAGAAACACCTCTCACATGATCGAAGGCTGCATAGTTACCTTAGAATTTCTGCAGGTAATTTCTGGTAGGTAATTTGGTAGTAATTAGGTAATTTTACTTGGTTAGTTGTGAATTGCGACAGTCCTTGTTATTCCGAACATTGAAGTTAACATTAATGTCTGGAAGAGTAGCAATAACGTAATGTTTTTATATATGAAGGGCGTGGAGCAGTAAGAAGATGAGACACTTCGACCAGAATCAGAAATTCATATTTACTAAAAGGAGGCGTCTGTGTCTAATATGGCTTAAATTGTTACTTCCCCAAACCCCTCATTTTATAAGTAAACTTTTTTGATTAAAAACTGCTTACTTAAAATTTTACTTTTTTGCATAAAAAATAAACACTTTTAAACTCTTCAGATTACGAAAAAAAGCAAGGGCCAAAATGTTTTTATGAATATGAAAACATGGCCAAATGTTGTATGTATGAATGCATGACCATATGTGGCTAAATTATTTAAGAATACGAAGAATCAAACGACAATCAGCGACCAGAGCAGATGTCAGCGCAGTCTAGCGGCGAGAGCCCCTACCAGGTCCTTGGACGTGTAGGCCGCCTCCGTCGTCTCCAAGCGCATCCGCATGGCCGCCTCGTCCATGGCCTCGGGCAGCGGCGGCGGCTGCAGCGTCATCTCCAGGAGCCTCTCCAGCGGCACCTCGGGCGGCGCTTTCGACTTCCTCCGCGAGGCGCGCTTGCGCTGCTCCTCTGCTCGGGCACGGGGAAAAAGGCGCTCGGCGCCAAAACGCTCGTGTTGGAGGAGAACGCTTTTACTTTGGACGAAGCTATATACACGATGTCCAGGGAGGAAACAACGGAACTTCGGAAATGAGATCTTAAATCAATTTTAAGTATATTTTGTCTAATAAACTCCTTCGATATTTCGAATGGTTGAGTCGCAATAAGCACTCAAAAGTTAGTTTGATAAAATACTTTGTATTACAATTTTGTAGTTCAAAAACATATAAACACTCCAGACATATGTTAATTGTGTATTATTTACAACAAAAATAAATATATTTGTTTGCAAAAAAATTAACATCAAATGAAAAAATAAATTGAATTTTGTTAATTGGGTGCTTTTTTATTTCTGGGTTAATTTGTCTTTGTGAACCAATATATTCATTTCTTTTGAAAATAATAAACAGTTTATATGTTTCTGGACAGTTTATATGTTTCTAAAATGCACATTTTTGCACGGAAAGCCTTTTTTCAAATCAACTTTTGAGTGCTTATTGCGACTCAGCCGATTGAAATCTCGAAGGAGTTTATTGGACAAAATGTGCTTAAAATTGACATAAGAGATGATTTTCGTAGTTCTTTCCTGCCTGGACACTCTGTATATACATTACGGTTAATGAACTAATCTGACGAATTAGCCAACTGGTTCATTAATGTTATTTTATCCAAAATAGGTAGACAAAGTCCAAAATATGAATATCTTTGAGCATAATTCGGAATTTAACAGCATGATTAGCCAACATGAGATGGCTAGGAAAGTGATGTACGTTACGCTGATAATAAATTGTTGAGATTACCATGCGATAAGTAGGAATCAGACTGCCGGTGGAATGTTTAAAAAACCAGTGAGGGAAAAGATGACTAGTTTCGGATTCCACTACGTCAAACGTGAATTTCTCTACACGTTACCACCTGACCTGACCTAACCTAACTTCACTACATACCTCAGTCGATGCTTAACTACATTTCTGCGAGGTAGGCCGACCTTCGGTATTCGCGATTTACGCAAAATAACTGTGAATACTTGCAACGCACAACTTACAAGACATTTTGATGCTAAAATACTTCTCGCGAATATAAACGAATCACACTAGGACGATCATTTCAGTTTAAACAGCGCCCTAATGGCTAAGTTCGCGCAGAACATTGCAAGGTATTTGTGTCTTTGTGATTCTCCGAAAGCAGCGTGTCGAAATACGCATGATTGTTATGTTTCTCGGCCTTCCTATTATTTTAGTGCCATCCAGTTCTAGTATAATGATTTTGTATTTAAAACTCGTGACTTCCTTTTACAATAACAATTATCCTACCTGGTTGACGTTCATCGCCTGGGATCCTTTCTGTATCCATGGCCCTGAAAAGTACATTAAGAAATTCAGTCTTTATTTAAATAAGGAAGTAATATGTTGGGTAATATATTGCATTTGGCTGGAATTAAATGAGAGGATAATTAAAATTTTATTTTCATTTTTTTTGTGTTGTCAAGGGTCTTTCCGACGGAACTAACATTTCTGTCTCATAAATAAAAGACGACGTAAGGCTAAATAAATTTAATTGCAAGTTTATGCTATATTTTTAACCGAATAACATCCTTACCGTAATAAGACAGTGAGTTTCGCTGCCGAAGAACTATGAAATTTTTCCATGACAAGCATACATTCATCTGAAAACAAAAGTTTTATAGATAATTGGGTTGGTAAAGATCTTCGAAAAACCATTCAAAAATCCAGTGGCTCTCTTTACAACTTAGGTAATGTGGATAAGTAAACGCCTTTTTTTAAAAAGAGAAATAGCTTGAAAAAATTAATTTGAAAAACAAATTTGCCTTTGAGCAATTCAAGTTCAATATCTAACAAGAATGTGTAAAAAAATGTATTTTTATAAGAAGTACAATATACTCGGAATTGTTTATTTTCAGAAATAAAGTCCATAACATTTGTTCTAGGCTTAGTTCTTTAGACCCGGATTTTCCAAATTGCGCACTGGGAGTGAGGTCCGATGCGCAATGATTTTTATCCGGCTCGCGAATAGACGTTCTCAGGGCTGAATTTATGCCTTGAGACACCTTAGGCATGAACACGCATTTGAAGACTTTAAGCAATAAAACAATTCAGATTTTTAGGTAATATTTCCATTCCTTATTCGAGCGTTGAATATCTAGTACTAAATACTGACAAAGCTACCTGTCCGGTGTATCTGATAAAGTTCTTCTAAACGAATGATGTTTTGTGTATCTCGTGTATGAATCAAACTATAAAGAAGACAAGAAATATCAATAACGCTAAGACGTGTATATTAAAAGCAGGAAAGTTGTAAACAAAACAAAGGTAGAGAAAGTCACTATTTTATAGTAATTCTTACTACTAGAACTTACCGAGAAATGTAAAAACTTGTGCCTTGTAAACCATGCATGCACCATGCATTAGTACTGAAGCCATATACAGAGACATTCTCTTGGAAGCATGCTTTGACTTCGGAGGAATTTTGATAGTTTCAATCAGCTCATCACTGAAAAGAACGTAAACAGAACGATTGTGAAAGATGAAACAAAATCTTCAATTACATGATCAATTTGACAATGATATTTTTGTTTGGAGTTTTGAATTACAGTAAGCTAGGATACTCGTACACGATACTCTATTGCACGTGGAAACTCGACCCTCCTCTTCCTCACACCCTTAGGAAGGATAAAACCATATTTATAATAATAATAATAATAATAATAATAATAATAATAATCACAACGATAATAATTATACATATAAATGATGTTTTACTATTCAAGGTATTGACTGCCCAACTAGGTAGACCTGGCACATTCGGGTGATTCCGAATTCGTCTCCCAGGTGGGGTACACATTTTTTGAACTGCCAAAACATTATTAATAGCAATTACTTAATAGTACTGAGAAGCAACGAAGTCGCAACGGTGTTTGTGAAATTGCGAAGCGGGAAACATATTCCCACGTAATTGCCAAACTTCCAACTGTGACTAGGTGGTGAAAAACACGGTAAAATAATAATAATAATAATAATAATAATAATAATAATAATAATAATAATGATGATGATGATGATCTCTGAAGAACTAATTTCATCGTCTGCAAGGCTTGGCCGTAAGAACTGGCACATTCAAACAAAGCAAGAGTTCCTGAGTACTGCATCGTGAGGAAGTTTTTATTGATGTAACTGACCGCCCGAGTTTGCATGCGAAGTAGGCACCTAGGGTGTACAAAGGTCCCCTCATCATCATCCTATCACATCATAGTTCATTACTCAAGGTTATCAACCTTGTTCCAATAAAGGATACAGCCGAATAAGGCTGTTCGTCATAGCGAGTAAAGACAAACTAATCTCTCCGGGATAAATTACTGGGCCTGGTGTAATAACGTGTATCGTAGTCAGAGATGGGCGATATATGCATTAATAATAATAATAATAATAATAATAATAATAATAATAATAATAATAATAATAATAATGGTTACCGGCAATATTTGAGGTTATCGATTGCGTATTCGGACGTGTAATATCAAAATAATAATTGTAGACCACAGTTATTGGTTTCTTGGATTGTGGCCTGAATGTGAAGCGGAGCTCTGATGTAACGGTAGTTTATTATTGTGTCGACGACAATCTACAAGTGAGCTAGTAATACCTGAATCCTATTATACCCATAAATTAAATGTATATACTTACCATGTGTTCGCTATGTTCACTTTTTTAATATCTTCCTTGCGTGGATACCTCCTGTGGGTGGCTGTATACCAGATTACACTGTAGCGACCTCCCCTTCGGATGCAAAGTAAGTCGTAGGAGTAAAACATAATTACTGGAAGATAAACACACAATGAAACATGAATGCAATACTCAAGCTACAGATGACTTAGTTTAATATTATAATTTTAATAATTATTATTAGTGACCATTAGATGCAAAATGTACTCATCATTTGCGTTGCAAATTAAAAATACGGATTGAAAATTTTTTCTTTCTTTCTTTCTTTGCAGAATGTATTAAATCTCGGTTCGGATATTAACCCAATCATGGAGGAAAATAAAGATACCTCAAAATAACTGTTGCAAATTTCTAGATCATATAGTGGAGTCAAAAATGATAATTTTTTTGCCAATGAACATATAGTAGGAAATTTCGTAAAACTAGGTTCAGTATGAGACATTTACCTTTGATTGGTGTGCAACTCTCATGTGGGGTATTGATTCGATTAATCACGAAACATTACCGATCAGAGCAGACGGCAGCTAATTTTTTTCCAGTACGTCTACCCTGACGACCTATGTGCGCTAACTTCGAAGTACTGAGAAGGAAAGGCAGTGTGGTCCTCAGTAAGTCACGCTCCCACGCAAAGAAATTTCGTTTAGGCTGCTTGCCAAACATCATAGCATGATAAGTTGCCTATCACTCAGGGGTAAATATCACATACGAGTTGTGGCTAGAATGAAAGGGACTGTTTGTTTGTAAGACAAACAGCGCGATTCTTATTATCAAACGCCTGACAGTCGTCTTCTGACATTCCCTCCTCCACATTCCAGCCGGGGTGACGGCCATTGCCTACTCAGGCGGGTTACGGCCTTGGTTCGCATCGCGACGTGTACCTGCCGGTCTTCCGAAAAATGGTAGGAGTCCAATAGAGCAACGTGTTAACGTGAAATGTTTAGTGAAACTCGGCAAGCCCACAAGAGAGACATATTCCTTCTTACAAAAAGTAAACGGTGATAAGTGAAGTCGCGCACAGGAGTTTCTGAGTGGTATAAACTGTTTGAAGAAGGATTCGAAGAAATCGAAAATGATCCACACTCAGTACATTCTTCCACTTCGAAACGGATGAAAACGTTTTAAAAAGTAGGCAATCTCATCCCTAAAGATCACCGTTTGAGTATCTGTGCAGTTGTCGAGACAATAGGAGTCGACGAAGAATCAGTTCCATAGATTTTGCATGAATATTTTAACATGAGGAATGTTTTTTCCAAATGGTACTGACGATAATTTCGCAAAACATCTTGAGGTAACAGGTATTCTGCACTAATAATACCTGTAATTAATTAAATAGACACCTAGAACCAAATCTGGTGAAACCTACAAACACCCTGAATTTAATAAACAAATGCTGGAAGTTCTCTGTTCAGATGATGCTCCCTGATGTCACGGAATTATTATTAATATTATAAAGAATACGTTGGCAAACATTACCATTTATTGTGCTTAAATAAAATATATGAAGGTCATCTTGGCATTTTACTAATACGAACATTTCGTTATTACAAATTGACAGTTGGATACTGTACTTCTGTAGACATTCCTATTCAACGATTTTTGGCGGACCATTAATTTAACTATTTATACTATTTTCGAAAAATTATATTTACCCAATTCTTCGCGAATGAGCCTAAAGAAACCTAAAGCCCGAGAGCACTCCAGATTCTGCTAGAATACACAATAAAACTTAAGAGACACGAAATGCAACCTCTAACATTTCAGATTCAGTATTGACGAAAATATTCTTAAAAACATGTTTTGAACTAAAAAGATACTACAAAATCAGAAATCTGCATATACTTATGCTTTCTCTATTTCATACTTGGCAAGTATTTTTATTGCAAATACAACTTCCTGAATGAAGCGAAGAAATAATTTTTAAATCTCATCCTAAACTAAAAATAAAAATATTTTGCATGAATTCAATTCCATGGGTTTTTGATTCTGTGAATAATATCACATGATCCTGTTATAATCACCCACTTATAATAGTTAATTTTGTTGTGCCAATATGGTAAATTTACACGTCTTGGAAGAGTCAGTGTATTGTCGGTGAATATTTGCATTGGGATCGTCGACCCATTGCAGTTCACCGGAGAAAAGGCGCTTGCTGACCTTGAAGCCTTGAATCGCCGGCCCTGTCTCGTCCCTTGCGCTATTTTTAGAGCACCAGTCAACCCCTCCACGCAGGAGCGCTACCTCGCTTCTTTGCTTCGTGCCACAGGGCATTGGATGAAATACAACAATAATTCTTTCCCTCTTAACATTGACTTTTAGCTAAATTCCACCTGTGAATCAGGGTTGTGAAAATGCCTGAATTCTTATATTCCAATGTTAATAGAATTGAAATTTTATTTTTGTACAATTCAGTTACTTCAATGTGCATTGCAAGTAGTGGTGCTACAAAGTAGCATATACTTTCTCATATCCGTTAGTTTCCTTTTCTCTTCAGACTGGGCTATCTTTTTAGTTTCGCTCCTGGGCTTCTCAACTGCCATACATTGGCGCATTAAAGACAAATTTTCGAGTTTTCTCCATTATTTGCATCCCTACCAGTTCAATTGAAATGTGACTTGGCAAATATTACGGAAGATTAAAACCTGGCCTTACATGCATTCCTTCATTGAAACATTTGGAGGAGTTTTTAAAAGTAAACTTAATATCGTTCGAGCGTTTTTGAAAATGGCCTTTTTCATAGAAAATTATTTTTTTAGAAACACAACTGAAACTCATTTGAAGAATTTCTGCTCCCAAATGGAAAAATGTATTTAAATGGCCAGTGTAGTAAATATTAACGACGTGAGAGGTATTTCAAAATAATAGATTTGTGAAATTTTTGGAAAGACACATAAATAAACCAAATTTAAGTTCATGTTACGTTATTGAGTGCATTCAACACTATCCGTACAAAACATTTAAAGAAAAAAATTGAGCCGTTCTTGAGAAAATCACGTTTTTAATATTTCTTCCCATATTTCACTAACATTGCTCGCAAACTGCACTCACAAGATTTTCAAAAATATGTATCTGACGTTAATGAAAGAACTATTTCTGGAGAACAAATTTCATCTAAAAGAATCGCTATCTTCAAGATTGTGGTAGACTCCATCCATAAGTTAAAACTAAAGACTCATAATGTAATTCATTGTTAGAATGTGAAAAAAATACATCACCTTCCGTTTATTGTATCACAAGGTTTTCGTACACCGCGATTTTTGCTTGAGGAGAAGGCAGCTGTCCTACCTGTGCGATTGGGAGCTGTCGAACGACTGACTGGGTAGGTGGAAACAGGGGTGACAAATTTGCCGCGTATTCAACCTAAACGACGTAGTAAAAATTATGAAAATTTATTTGGCAATAATATAAGTAATTTTTACGAGCAACATAATTATGTTAGGGTAAAACCCCCAATTTTTGAACTTGTAACTTCACAATAATTTTTACTTCATCAACGGAACTGGCGCTTATTTCCTTCTCTCTCCCGCCCTCCGCGTAACACATGGATCTTGAATCTTCTAAACGTGTTAACAATCTAAAAGAAAATAAATATTCTAAGAATAAAACAAAGTTGAAACTTAAATTTATGTACTTTAAATATATCTTTACAAAATAAAGTTTATAAACGTCGAGGCGCGTAATAGGATAAACGGGTTGGTAATGCACACATTCTGAAAGTTTGTTCTTTTTAACGATATTTTTTCATTTTAATGAACACATTTCTCAGTGTAGAAAAAGTGTAGTTAGGAAGCGAAGAAATGAAACAAAATTCTTAAGCAAGTTAGTATACTCTTTTTCTATAATCATATGTCGATCATATATTTAGGGTATCTTAGTCTATAAACTAACTTGAATGAAATTAAATAATTTTGTAAGAATTCTTAGATCGGCATATTTTTCAGGAATATATAAATCCTAATTCCTATTATTATTGAATGTTAAAACATTAATAATAAACGAAATTAATATTATTTTCTAAAGCTTAGTTATTAACGAATGCAAATCAAAAAACAGTTATTGAATACACTGAAACTGCTGTTCGGGTAATGCACGCGGTTGTGTACGGGAAGCTGAGGGAGATTTATGTTTTTAGTCGATTTTGTTGTTAATTTTGAAAATCAGCGACATCAGATGAAATATTTTAAAACTGATGCTGCTGGCTGCTTGTTGTAAGCATTTTACAGGAGAATGCCGGCGCACTGTCTACGAGCACCTCATCAACCCAAATCCTATATTTTTTAGGTCTCACACCCCCTCCCCAATATCTCTAGGATCTGGGATTGACATGTACTATTTCAGATGCCTTCCTGCTACGTGAAAACTGTAGGGGCTCTCGAAAACAATGTAGGTATTTTAGTAGTCTGATTTCAGACCTGATAGACCTGATAAAGAGTCTGATAACAACAAATACATTTTTCATTCCTTACACAATACATAACTAACACCTTAACAAGACGTTTGATTTTAACAAACTTAAAAGTTAATTAAAATTGAAAGTTTTGTTAAACTCAATAGCTTTTTTGTCCATTTTAATAAAAAAAGTAGTTCTTCGGCTAACACAAACATAAAAACAGAAGAAACTCTGAGAATTCTAGCATTAAAAAACAAAAGACATATGAATAGTATAGTAAAAAATAAAGTAACGTCATAAACCGCGGTAGTCATGTAGAGCGTGATAGTAGTTCGCAACGGCGTCCACAGAATGCGCTGCTGATGGCGTAGCCGCGCTGCGCAGCGAGCCCGCGCCAACGCGACTCCGCCCTCTTCCGGCCGCGCCCGTCGCCACCGTCGCGGCCGGCGCCACCGTCAGCAGCAGTTCGCGCCTCCGCGTCGCGGCGCAGTGTGCCGCTGCTGACAGTGGGGACGTTTAGCGCGCGCCGCCGAGGAAACGAGCGCGTGGGTGCACGTGGAGGCGCGTGCGGCGCCACCGCGCTCGAGTACAGCACCTGTCAGCAGCGCGTTTCCCTCGCAGCCCAGGTCAGGTCGGGTCGGGCCATGGCCGGCCGAGAGTCGTTGTTTTGATTCGGCCTCGCACGCGCGACCGTCAGCATGGGAGCCTACCAGTCTGGGAGGTCGGCGGGCAAAAAGACGTCATCCGAAGAAGGTACGGAACTGGTGGTTTGTTGGGCGACATTGGTTTTTGTTGCGATGCGCTTCTGTGCATTACAGTTGTTGGTTATTTAGACTGATCAAGTTTAGTTTTGGTGTTACTTATGCGTATTTTGAGAAATACATAAAACATCCTCTGTCTTCCTTCCTTTTTTCCATAAACATTAAATAAGTTAAACACTTTCAACGGTTTATTTTGGTAAACTTTTTTATTTTATCTTATGTACATTAATGTTCTTAATTGGCATATGAAACGCTTTAATCTTCTATAGTGCCTATGACAGCAAATGGTATTCGAAACTTAATATATTGCTAAAATGATGTTTTCTGGTTGCCTTGTAAGCTTTCAACGCTGGGTTACTTGTAGTGAATTCTCGATTTAGAACTTCTAACTTCATCAGAAGTTACTTAAAGTTGAATATTTTTATTTCGAGAATTGTTTTTTTTTTCAGACCTAACTGAAATCTCAGTAATTTTCCAAGCGCTGTCTGTGTTAACAAAGTTTTTCGGTTTTTACTTGGGTAAATAATCTGCTGGAGGCCGCTTTCGTTTGGCTTACCACAAACTGGTGAGCTAAATGGAGAGCTTCCAGGATCGGAAGTCCGCCCGCCTGTTACCGGAAAACGCAATCCGCTGATGGACTTTTAACGCAACGATTTCCCGGTCCCTAGCTGTGACTTCTTGACCTTTGCATCTGGACACCTTGTTGAACGAGGATTAGCTTCCGGGAACGAGGAACATTTTACCGGCTCATAAGGGGTATTTGTGCGTGTTCTTGATGCAATTGTTGCCCTTTTATCTTCCTTTCGTTCATTAATAAAATTGCGTTGTGCACACGCGTTCTTTTTTGTTCCCTTTTAATCTTGATTGTTCCGCATTTTCGTGTATAATATATGTACACGAGGACACTATTGAAAAATATTAGCGTAGAATGAAAAAATACAATACAAAAATACAAGTCAAAAGAAACAGAACATATTTTGAAAATTAACTACAAAGTGTTTAAATAACAATGAGTCAGTATTGGAACTAAGAATCAGTAAGTAAAAATGAGAATGCAAAATTTACCATTTGATATTGTTTCTTTGGTATCTAGTATGTAAGGTATTCGATGCTGTATCTCGTATGATGATGATAATGATGAGGTGTTTTCAGACAATATTTGACCAGCGTAGTTAGTTGCAATTTGGCATATAAAGCACCATTTCTAATGATCTTTATTTTACATACACATGTTCATTACAAAATGCAAATCCTATGAATCTGCCGACGTGAACTTCAAGCTATGTGTAAACTGCACTAATTTTATTATTAAGAATCATATTTTTTAAAGTAATATTCAGTAATAATTTCAGTAAAAGATACAATTTTGTCGTTTACTGAAAATTTTCAATATTTCACTTAGTTAATTATTTTTCTTCAAACATATGAATATTATTTGAATACCATAAATGTATCATAAAAAATGAGCGAGTACAACATATTGACATTAGCAAAATTTGGAAAGGAAGTAACTAACACGTTAACGTACTGTTTGTATTTGAGTGAATGTTCCCGTGGAATACATTTACCGATTCAATGTTACCTGGAATTGTAAATAATATATGTAGAAAAGAAATTACGTTTATTCTTGAGAAATTAATATAAACATTGCAAAACTTAAAACTTTTAGAGGAACGAAATGCCGCCTTACAACTGTTTTCCTCAAACAGAGGACGGAGTTTAAAGAGTTCCATTTAGAATGTGTTGAGTACCCAATCCAGTATCCTTTAAACCTGGCACAGAACTGTTGGTTCGGAGCATAAATATTAGGTCGAGACTAACAGGAAAGATGTTGGTTTAGTGAACTAAAATAAACGTTGGGTAAACTCTGATTGAATTGAAGTAAATAAAAAGAACAATTTTATTTTCATAAAGGAAAAAAATCCCGTCCCCCCAAAATCTTTAACATTGAACCTTTTTTTTGTATACCAGCATTATAAATGACAATTTCCGTTGCAAAAAACCTTTATAAAATGTCATTTTATAACACAAATGATGATGTATTAGTATTTTTTGGCGCTTGACAACAGTTTTCCAGCACAGATGTCAAATACTCGAGACGTGACATAAACGTTGTTTTACTTAATTAAGTTTGATTCTCTTATACATTTATACCGCTTTTATATAAACAATAACGTATGCAACTTTTTTATATTGTTTCTTTATTGCTTTCGTACAACTTTGAAAGCTTGCTCCTGACGTCGCTCATATTCAAATCATGTCCTCGTGCAACAAAGCTTAATGTTATAAACTAATTGCATAAACGTCTTTTATTTGTTTCATATTAAATCATATTTTCTTTTCTTTTTTTACTGCGGGAACAGTTTTTTTCATAGTTACCACTTTTGAGGAACAGTAAGGAGTAACCGGATTTTTATTTCTATGTTCTAGTGAACTTCGACCACTTCCAAATTCTGCGCGCCATCGGCAAAGGGAGCTTCGGCAAGGTAAGTTGTGACAACTTCGAACCGCGTGGTCGGACGTTGGCCGCGTCGCCACTGGCGCGGTATTACGCCGCGACGTAACATAACCACGGCCGGGCGGCCGTTGGGGTTTAACGCGCAATAACGGAGAGTGGAACGCCGGCCGGCCGGGCGGCTAGCCGCGCGCTGTGACGTGCGCGCCTGTCGCTCTGATGTTTCGCTCGGAGCGACGACGCGACGCGACGCGACGCGACGCGACTTGGCTCGGCAGGCCACTGGCAATCCGCGCGGTCTCCTGGCTTGGACTCGGTGAACACCATCTTCGATTTTTCTGTAGTGGCTGATGACATTAGGTTATTGTTATAGCTCCTGCGTTATAAAATTAAATCTTTTAAAACAGTGGTAAGCGCATTTATGAGACCACCAGCCCCGTTAGAAGGACGTTAACAAAAGAATTAAAAATATTCACTTTATAAGTCAGGAGGTGAAACAACGACCTGTCATTGGCCACTTTAAAAATAGGGACTGCCACATCGATGTTTACAAAACATTCATATAGTGGCCGATGACGTTAGGCCATCATTACAGCGCCTGCGTTAAAAAATGAATATTTTTATCACTGGTGAGTACATTTCTGAGATCACCAGTCCCGTTAAAAGGACGTTAACAAAATAATTAAAAATATTCATTTTATAAGTCTGGAGGTGAAACCACTCCCTGTCATCGGCCACTTCAAAAATATCGATGTGTAGGGACAGCGACATCGATATTTACAAAACATTCATATAGTGGCCGACGACATTAAGTCATCATTACAGCGCCTGCGTTACAAAATTAATATTTTTATCACTGGTGAGTACATTTCTGAGACCACCAGCCCCGTTAGAAGGACGTTAATAAATTAATTAAAATATTTTTTTATAAGTCAGGACGTAAAACAATGACCTGTCATCGGCCACTTAAAAATTATCGATGTATAGGCATGCGACATCAATGTTTACAAAATATCTATGTTTTTATTAAACCATCCGATTTTTTTAAGCCGATGTTTTTTAACGTCGATTTGTGGCGTACAATATCTTTACGAGATGGATATTTTTGTAATGAAATACGCCCGTCATATTCTATAATAATTTCCTAATATCCATAAACTGACTATTCTTCAGAACAAACTGGCGAAGGCTGTAAAATCAATAAATCGGGTTTTAGTAAAAAAAGAAGGCTATTTTGTTTTAAATTACCGAATCAGATAATCCAAGTTTTGTTAATTGTCCTGTTGGTTTTTTAACTTTGTTTTATCAGTTATACCTCAATTAAAAATGAATAAACGAGTTTCATGCTTATCTCCTGAAGTTTTAAATGTCTCCCTCTGGAGGAAGTTGCCGATTCGTACGCAGATGCGTAGAACCAGGGTCGGAGAACGCGAATCTATATTTTTTAGGGGTGATGGATTTTCTCAATGTATTAAAAACGAATACATAAGGGTAAAGAGGAATAAAAATGTCAAAAAGCGACACTTTTCGCGGCAACGTTAGAATATTTTCTCTAATCATATACTACGTAGTTAGTACACACAGGGAGGCATCCTTCCAAAAGTTTTGACCAACTGTTTGATACCAAGAAAAACTAAGATTTGCCAATTTACTCAACTTCAGAGTCCTCATCCCCTTTTTGAAAAAATCCACGAATTATGTCAATAATTGCTAATTAATGTTGCATATTCGGATGCATGTAAATAATTTATCCCCCTCAACTGATATGCTCGAGGGTGTCTCTAAATACGACTAGAATGGTAAAATAGTCTACGCTTTTGCTTCGCTTTTTTGGTATTATCCCCGTTTAAAGGTTTCGCAACTTCTCGTGACTGCAGACGTTCCTCCCTTCATGGACGAGATTTTTTCCTCCAAGTGCAGCCTCCATGGTTCGTACCAATGTCCCCACTCATCGCGCCGATGGGACTCGTGAGTCCTTACCGTTCGTGGTATATCGGAAACGCGTAGATCTCGAGTTTATTACGCTTAGTCCTTACATTAAGGAAGGGGGCTAGGCCACATCCAGGTGGTTTGACGCTGCTGCCCGTACGTCGCGCTCTTAGTCTTTTCCACAACTTGCCGGGGAAGGTAAATGTGATAAGGATAGGATTTAAGTGCAAGGGTGATACATGGTGTGCTAGGAATGCATTCCATGCCACTACATACTTTATGCGAGATTCGAACCCACAGATGTGCACACTTCCAAATGTCTCAAGTCAGTGCGCGCCTCAGGTCGGCGAAGAGTGAAAGGAAGTATGAGGGTTAAATGGCGGTACTTTGATTGGGAGAGCCCGCCAAAACACACGAGCGAAACAACACACGTGACAGGACTCGTACCCGTAGCCTCAGACCCTTCGAGCGGAGACTGGTAAGATCCGTACCGTCTTAGCGATTTTGTCTTCTCTGGGCGGCTGCTTTTACTCGTATTTTATGAGAAAATGTGAGTGCGAGCGTTGGCTCGCCCGTTCGCACTGCGGGAGTGTTGGAGGGGGGCTCGAATGTCAATGAATCGTAACCATGGCACCGGCTGCCGACCTGTCGGACTACGAAGTAAAGACTTTTTTTAACGTTTCAAAAATGTTCATGGGAGAGGCCGAACTGAACTTTGCTCCATCCGTGCAAATGCCTTTTGGAGCCGTACACGGTAGAATTATGCCTCGATGATAAGTGTTCGTAACTTTTGAGAAATGATAACTTGTAGTTAGCTGCGCAAAATAGTCATAATTAGGTGTGCGAGGATTATGATTTTTACAATATTATCTCACGAGTTAGCTATATTCAGGTATGCATTTCATCCACAGAACACCACCGGCTGAGGTTACTCAGGGCATCAACTGTTGTCACTGCAGTGCTTCTGACTGGGAGGTCCTAGGGTTCAAATCTCGACGGTGGCTTCAGCCGCTGGCAAATACCAAACAAACACCGGATCAGTATCCTTAAAATTGGGTCACGGACCGCGCACGATCCTTTTTTCTCTTCCTTGCCCCCTTACTTACACACACTTGTATTTACAAGTCCTACACTACCACACATGTTGGGAGACCAGTCAGGAGCTTAGAACTTGCCCCAACTGGGGCGGTGCTTCTCTGGTGGGTGATACCTGGCTGGGAAAAAACCCTGCAAGCCGACGTGTAGGTCGGCGTCGGATATCGTCATCCAAAGGTGGAAGAACACTGCTATCTCCCATGATAAAAAGACGCGCTATACTGACGGGACTAATGACCTTAGCAGTTTTAGCGGTTCCACGAAAGACTAATACTAATTCCTAGTAAAATGAGGTGTTCTCACCAGTGATTCCTTGTGTTCGGAACCATCGTAGTGTTGTCGAGTTTCTTCATGACAATCGTAAAGTTATCTAAAGGGGGGATGATGGCCACGACACCCCGAAAGTGAACGATTGTTTTTTATTTTATCTCAATTAATTCAGAACAATTATCTCATAAAGTTCGCATCACATCCAAAGAAGTATTCTTATTATGAATAGCTTACATATTTTTTAAACTTTCAAAAAATTATTCTAATTTCAAATATATTTATGACAAAGACGGAATTGAAACTGTCCCCTCACAAAATACTTTCAGAATCTTTCTCCGTCTCATATGACAGTTTGATATTCAGCAAAAAGTCTGAACCAGTACATTAATGTATAAAGTGAGCGCTACTGTAATATTTGGTGCATCAAGTTCTAAGGGATATAAAATATCAATATTATACGTAGGCCCTTGTTGATTTGTAGTAAAATCAATATTTGCATCATCTTGCAATTTGACACCTTACTCGCAAATCACCGCTCTCATATCGTCGGTACCCAGGAAAAGTGATGCATGTAATAAATAATTTTTTAGTGAACTGAATAAATAAAATTTGAAAACCCTTTTACAGGTAAAATCGTATAGATAGTTTACAAGACGTATGTGTCTTTTGGCTAGAAATAAACGACTCTTTCAGGATAAATCCGTTAAAGATTCATGTTGCCAATCTACTGTACCGACTACATAAATCTATTATTTCTATAAGCAAGCTATACCCGAGTTCGTGGACTATCCCAACTCTAATGAATAGATTAGATGAGGAGGGTGATGGCGTTGATGATATGAATCATGGTTGATCAATTGTGGACTCCGAGGTAGGGGAAACGGGGGAGAACACAAAGTAAACCAGTCTCGAACTTGCTGTGTCCGTTGGACTGACCACACAGATTGACCGGAGTTTGATTGTAAGTAAAAATGTTGGATATAGAGAGAGCTGACCGCAGCGATGCAAGCCATCCGAAATCAGTGGGCGGTGTAAAGTGGAACTTAGACGCAGCAAAAAAAAAAAAAATGCAGAGAAACGGAGAGTTAAAACTCATTTCCCCAAAGAGCTTTTTCAACTTCCATAATTTGCTTGGTCATTTGACTACATCTTCATCCGTAAGATCTCATTCATTGCGTCATCTAAAAATAACACTTGAAGGTTTCTTTCTAGAATTATCGTGTCAATCGTTATAGTTATTGTAGTTATTAACATTAATTTGTCAAATGTGTATATTGTTAAAACCTTTTATTACATGGAAAGCCATTGATAAACCTTGTGGTCAAAGAAATATGAATACTTTTTTTAAGTTACCGTGACAATTTTGGATAAACGATGTTTTTGTTATGGCCAATTAGACGAAATATACGAATAAGATAGCCGTTTAATATTAACTGTTGTGAATGAAGTGGTTCAGGTGTGGAATATTGAAAGACTAATATAGTATGGTGTATTGCTCCTTGTTGTCAACTACTTTCGTAGTAGTACTGTGTGTCCAGGTTATTAGTTGCAGTAGTTTTATAATTATAATGGGTTTCAGTTGGGGTTTTGGTTGCAAAAGAAAATATTGCAATGCATCTAATTCCTACCTCAGCGTTTAAATTTTTGAAAGAGAAACCAATAAAGCTAAGTAGTTTGACGTACGTGAACGACGTTAGCGGCTGACAGTGAATGATGGAGCTACATTTTGGGTTCATC